CCCGAAGACGAAGTGGGCAGAGGAGTAGAGTGCAGCGATAGGTAGTGGCAGCTAGCGCTGCCATAGCTGTAGCCTAGCATGTGTGGTGTGTGAAGAATGATACTGAGTGTTGCGTGTGGGACATCCAGGGTGATCCAGAGTGCGAACAGTGAGTTGTGTGGGCGCCCAGTCGCCATAGCCAGTTGAAGAGAACTCATATCTGGTTACGATATCTTGAGTATTAAGTGGGCGCATGTCGCCAGTTGCTGTTTTGCTGTTTGCATACATGACAAGTTGAATAATCAGAAGTGTGATTTCAATTACCCTTAGGAGATGTCATGGAGGGAGAGTGTGGAGGAGATAGATGAAGAACTACAGCAGATAGACGATCTCCGGCAGGACCTCAAAGGGATGAGGATAGGGAAACATAGGGAAAGCGAGAGGCGGTTAACGGAGCCTGAATTTCCAGAAATTTGTAATGCAATTTACAAGAAAATCCAAAGCCCTGTTTAATCAAACTTGTCACCCATACATAGAGTGAACAGCATAGGCACAGGAGCTACTCAGGCTGGAGGCGGAGGAAAAAGGCACCCCACTGAACCCGGTCAAACTACAGCCTGATGGAACAGGTGAAGAATACCAATTGAGACTGACAAGTCAGCCTCTGAAGCAAAAGGGAATTCGAACTGAATTTCCAAAGAATATAACCAATCTCGCCCAAAGACGACCATTACCATTGTTTGAAGAGTATGTGAATAGGAGAAACCGGGAGGGATAATGAGATGTGCTAGAACAGAAGAGAACGGAGATAGAGCAGTAGGCAGGTTTCCATCCTCATTGCAATAACCTTATGCTTTGATTTCAAGATTGGAGGCAGTGCTGTGCAAGCACTGCCATGCACACAGGGTCTTGGGTAATAGAGTGCATAAGGGAAAGTCAGTTTAAGTCACACAAAGGGCAGAACTAAACAAGTTCATTTCGGATCCTGTCAGATACCATAGAATTGGGTTACATCCTTTTTCCTTAAAAAATCCTACAAAGGGAGGATAGGGTAGGGGCAGGGTACAACAGCCCTGACCTGTGGACCACGACTTCGGTCCTGCAAACCGTCTGAGATGAACTGAATGTCCGTTAAACGGGCAACGAGTTTTGCCAGCAAACCCCTGTGGCTGCTCATAGCATGACAGAAAAACAAAGACCACAAAAGAGAACGGTAAGAGAACGGCAAGAGAACGGTAAGAGAACGGTAAGACTGTGCAAGCATATGTTCTGAGAGGAAGGAGATGAAGAAGGTTGAGGGGAAGAACTGTGCAGGGGAAGGTGAGGAGGAGAGGGAGCAGAGAGGAGGAGAGGGAGGAGAGACGGAGGAGACGGAGGACGGGGAGGACAGGAAGGACAGCTAGGAAGTCATCATCAGACGCTCACAGCTTCAACCTTTCTGCATTACACAATGCAATCAAGTCAGAGTATCAGTTCATGTGTTGAAAAACATCTGCAGGAAAAAACATCTGAATTAACAACCTCGCTATCACTGAGCCCTACCATAAATGGAATGTGGCAGGGGAATCCCAGCGAGAAGGAGGAATAGTATAACTGGAGATAGCAGAGATGAGAGACTAAGGCAAACACAGAATACGGATCAAACTTAAGAGGAAAGGAAGTTGATAAAACACAGCAGATTACATGCACATAAAGCCACAAAGAGAGAGAGAGAGAGAGAGAGAGAGAGAGAGAGAGAGAGAGAGAGAGAGAGAGAGAGAGAGAGAGAGAGAGAGAGAGAGAGAGAG